CTAACGGTCTGAGTATTTTGGATGTTTTTTTGCTTTACATTTACCACTAATATTTAGTCATCGGTTACTCACAGAGCTGTACGTAATTTCGTTTAAAGATACACATTAATAGACTGATTCGAAACGGTGAGGGTTTGTGTAAGCATGCTCGTATTACTTGCAAATGAATTACGTTATAATTGTATGTATAATTTGTATTTAAGCCCCGTTTCATACACTGTTGCTTATTTCAAACTAAAGTTAGTGGCCAGGATAATTATCTTAGGAAATGCAAACTAGTTTTGCTCTGTGACCCAAATTCACAGCCACTTGTGTTCTCTTAAATTTATAATAAATAAAGTTCCATATAAAACTTATTTGTTGGAGAGCAATCTTTATAGTATAACTGTATTAGCAGGAAAGAAAGTTTTGCTTAAATGTATAAAACTTAAATAAAAAAAAAATCATTAACTCATCAACTTGGTTCAATTTTATCCATTTCGCATTTATTCGTATTCTAAAAAGTTTGGGTTTGAGTGAAATAGGAGTGATGAAGGAAAGAAAAACTTTTTGCTATTCTGTAGAAGAATCGTCAACCATGCACGAAATAATTAGGCCTATACTTACATAAAAATAATCAAACAAAACTGATTAAATTTGCAATGAAGTCAGTGAATCATTTTCTCCTTTCGATAATTATGTTACTAATATATATAGGTCAGAACAAAATTACTACCTTACACGCACAAGAAAAAACGGAGTTTAATGTCTTTATATAAAATACGGGATACTCGTTAGTTTGTGTAGAATACTCGCGACATCTTTATCCTTCTGTTCTTCAATGAAGATATATTACTGTTTCGAAGGTAAGAACAACGCTTTTCACCATGGTTGTACTGAGTTATTCTTGTCTTCCTGGTCATGGTTGGCATGCACTACCAAGTATTTACAAGTTTTCAACTGTTCAAGGAAAAGTTGATTTTACCAAAAGAGTGTATGTATTTTACCATGGCATTTGTTTCAATACAGACTGTTTAGTGTGTAGAATGTCCTTTAATGGGTCCGCTTAAGAAATAAAAAAGTTGGAAAAAGCACGATTCTTTTGACTGTATTAGCTTTCATTATGTGTAACTAACACGGTCCTTTTTAAATGGCATCTCATCATTAAAACTCTTGACAAATTACAGATAAACAATAAAAGCATTCACTTTAAAGCAAGTATTTTACTGTGACTTCGATATATTTTCTTAGTATTCAGAATATACCTTTAAATATTTTATTAAAAAAACATGTTTATATAATTATTTACCTACCTATTGAACTATATAGTAGTTCGTTTGTTGTTAAGCTGGGTTATCTGTGATGTCCCCATCATGAGTATCGAACTTCACTTTTTAGCGATATAAGCCTTCAGACTTATCGCTGAGGAGCCTAAAAAAGTAGTATTAAGTAGTTGCACGTTTGTGTATCACAATTCTTAGAAACAGATAAAAATTTTATAAAAATTCTATCAAAGTTTGTGACCTCAATGATATGATCAGTAACATTCTTAGTGATGTATACAGATAAGGTATCCATAATTATCTGTGAAGTCATACTATGTGTAACCATGGGCATCCAATATTATCTGTGACGTCATACTAATTGTTCTTTATCTGTATAACTTTGCACCTGATCCGAAATTCCAAGTATCATAAATTGTATCTAAAGAAAAAACATGTTGCTATTGCACGAAAATAGTGCTGTAAGACACTCGACCTCGTGCCTATTTAGCAGCGTCGTGACCAGTACTTCAATTTGCCTCACTTTTCAGCCTCCCTCCCCACATTTTTTTTTTTGTTGCTAAAAAGCCGTTGGAGTCCAAAACAACAACAAATATATATATATATGTATTATTTAACTATATGTATATTATGGTATGACCAACTCATTGTAAGAAACCAAATTATGAACATAAAGAATATAAATGATAACTATTTTTATTGCAGCATGCGAGATCCAAACACACTGTAAAACACACTTAAAACCCTAAATTAAGTTATTAACTGCTAAACCTTTCTATTGTAACTAGTTTTGAGAGGATATATCCTTACATGTCCCTGCTTAATAAGATTTTAAACAGTTAGTTAACTTTGAAAATTTTTCATTGGACCATAATCCTTTGAGTGAATGTTATTTGTGGATAAAATCCTCGTTCAATTTTCTAGTTTGTTCTTTTAAATAGAAAACACAGAAAATTAGTCTGCGGATGTGATGGATAATTATCTAATATTTTGCAGAGTGGAGGGTTGTATATAATATGTTACAAATATAATTTTTCACATTAAACGTATTCAAAAAAATATGAAGAGTAATCAAGAAATTGAAATCTAGTATAGTATTATTAGTATAGTACATAAATGTGCAAAGTCAAACATTAGGCTGTTTGCGCTCTATCCACCACGGGGATTCGAGTCCCGGATTTTAGCGTTGTAAGTCCGTAAACTTACCGGTGACCCACTGTGGGATACATAAAAAATCTTAAAAATTAAATATAGCATGTGTTGTTTACTTCACAAGTATGTAATTCCAAACACATTCAGTGCAGTTAATGCCAAGTTTTTTTCCTTATACTCGTATATTCACATGGCGATGGTGCTGTTTATCGGTCACTGTTCCTAAATAATGTCATCCTTGCCTTTTCATGGGCATTTTTTGATGAATCGTATAGGATACTGCAGTCGTTCAAAAATTGTATAAATATTCATAGTTTCATCATCAAGGATCGTGTGATGACTAATCTTAAAAACATTGTAAGTTATAATTGATATTTTAACCGTTTTATGATGTTAATTATAATATTGTGTCTTTAGAGAGACGCCTGAAAAAATAAAAGAATTCAAAGTTGTTTATAAATATCCCAGCACCATTAAAAATTTCTTACCCTCAAAAATGTCTACATCTCAAGAAAAAGAACAGGGTGTCTATTTAGTCACTTGCCAAAAAAAGTGTATGTTAGTGAAACGGGAAGAAAGTTAGAAATCAGGATCAGGGAATTAATGTTAAAATGGTCAAACAAATAATACAATTTTTCTACACATAAAGAGAATTTGACTATAAAATAAACTAGGAATCAGCCAAACTAACACATGGAACTACAAATTATGTCAAAAGAAGAAGTCTGAAAAGTTTGTTAATCCAAAGGTTGCTAAACTTCAACAAATTTGAAGGTCACTTTAAGTTGATACCTAAATATTTTTACATTCTAATGGATTAAATAAGTAAAACTTTCACAAGTTATTAAGGGTAGTACAGAACAGAACAATCTAATTTTCTGTCTATGGGGTTTTTGAGTCTGTTTTACTTTACCATATAGTAAACTAAATGAATTTAGCTATTTCAATAATGTATTGACATTTCGTCGAATTCTTCAACATATATATATATATACAATCTCATTTTCTTTTTAACTGTAACTTATATGACCAGATATATTGTGTGGCTTAGGGTTCTCCTTTAGCGTCATTACTAGCTAACGTGTTTTTATGTTGTTATTTTGCTTTTCTTTTTTGTATGAAAAGTGGTTAGAATCATGCCCTTTACAGACGTTATATGGATGCCACGTTTACATTTTTTAAACATAAAAATCATTTAGAAAAATTTTACTAAATACATGAGCCAGTACCATTGATGGATGAAATACAAATACCATACCATGAATAAAATATACAGTAGAAGAAGAAGAATCTAACTCCAAATTACACGTAATAACGAACAATAATGTGAAACTAAGTGGGTTTGTGATATTCATTACCATGAACATGTTTATACCGGTTTATTCTAACATTTTAACAGCTTTATTCCAATTCAGTATAAATTAAATTTGATACACATATTACTACATTGAGCATAGAAATCATGTCATCGTTTAGAAAGTTTACTTATGCACAATCACTTCATATGGAAGTGGTGTAACAATTAAATGATTAAACTTATAAGTGATATAATTGAAAGTATATCAATAACTCGAACTCCCACCTCTACTCCCCGATGTCAGTAATGTACAGAAATTACCGTTCACGTTAGAAATACCATATATATATATATATATATATATGAATTTAAATTGTGGAACTAAAAAGAAAAACTCGGAAACATTTTTAAAGATTTACTATCTCCAAGTGCAACTTGGGGATATTTTTAAATCTTCTTCAAGACCAGAAAGATTTGTACTGATTTAATGATTTTATGTAAATTACGAAAGGTTCATTTAATATAATGTTTGCAATACTTTGGTTTACAACTATTTTTTAAAAACGAGAATATAATTACAGATACTTTTTACATATTATATTACAGTAAAAAAAGTTCAGTAAGATTTATTTGACATTTTCAACCCGAACAGCATCTGATCAAATTCTTGGGCTAAACAGCTAGAATAGAGACTCTTGGGATTTAGATATAATCATTCCTTGAAAATATAGATCTTCCAACCAGAGGAAAAGCAGCCAATCAGCAGCACCCACCGACCACTCTTAACGAAATAGCAGGAAATATTTTCATGCTTATAAGCTGCCCACAGCTGAAAGTGTGAACTGTGCCCTGCAGGCTAACTATTAGGCCGTGCCCTGTCTTACTTTTTTTATATATCAGAAATAATGTTAGGTCCTGTTTTTTAAAACAGCGGATAACATGTACAAAACAAACAAAGAATTAGATATTAATAATATAAAGTTGTGGCATATTGCAACTTTTCAGTCTTTCTGTTATCGTCGTATTTTTCACAGATTTACTTTTCTTGTTTTTGTTATATTAAAATGTATTTATTTACTTTTCTATTATAACATTTAATAACTGGTTTAAGTCAAACTTACTATAATATTATATTTTCTGATAAATAAAACACCTTTTCACGGTGTTATCCTGCATATTTCTACGATATAAGGTTTTAGCGTATTTCAAATTCTCGTTTTTATACGTCGTTTGAAATATGTTTTAAAACTAGTCAATCAAGTTCAACTTTTCAAAATACTTCTCTCGGCTTTATTAGTCATACATCACACGAAAATCACATTTTATGGTTGAGCTCTCACAAAGCTTAGTAATATGTCTTAGACTATCCAGAGAAAGACGTAATGATGCTAGGAGGAGGAAAAAAAGGTAAAATGTATTTCAAAACTAACTAGAGTATACTGCTTTACACCTGAATGATTAATATGCAATTAAGAATATACGTTTATCTGGCAGTCAGAAATTTTATAAGAGGAGTATCAGAAAACTGTTCTACTTTTGTTAAACGCTCTCGTGTGTTTCTTCAAAGCATAATGACATTTTAATGCGATATATCATAACATTATATTGAATTTTGATGTTTACATGTCACTGTAAATTGCTTTAACTATATTTTTCTTCCACGTCTTTCCCACAAGGTTAACCAACTTTGGAAGTAATATGTTTAATCACAAACTCTTACAATAAAAAAATTAGCATCTGGATAGGAGAAAGAGTAACTGTGTTTAATAGAATAGCTTGCACTACCAACAATTACGTAGAACATGCAACTTAAGTATTTCTCTGGACTATCTAAGATGCACATACAAGTGTTTAGAATACGAGATGGCAAAATACAATAATTCACCTTCAAAATTACATAACATCAGTTGAAAACAGATATCGTATTTCATTAACAAGGTATACAGATATGGCATTAAATAATAATAATAAACCTCAATGAACAGAACTGAAAACATAACGACTTATGTACAAAAGTATATATGCATTATTTCACAATGCTATCACAAAAATATATTTCAAAACACAGTCCTTGAACTTGTATCATATTTTTCCCAGCATACATTTTCATATCACTTTGAGCGGTCCCTTATGGTCAGCCAGCTTGACAATTCATGGCACAACAGCATTGGAAATATGCTTATAAATTTCATGTTGGTTAAAAGTCCTTCATGTCTGTTTGATTTAATAATCAGTTATTGGTATTGATGTAAAGCAGTAAATAAGCAGGCATGAAATAAGCGTAACAAAAATTGATTCTTCTCTATTGGTCTTCTGCTTCCAAAACACCGAAACAGATCGCTAAAAATAATGAGTAAAAGTCCAAGAATGGCAAGAAATTTTATGCAGAACTGTTCATACAGAGGTCATGAATTATCAACTTCTAAAGATACAACGTCCCAATGCGTTTATGTTGTGTTGTATGTATCAGCTTTGGGTTACTTGATTCACGTGCAAAAATAAATTTTCGATTTTCGATCTTACTGCTCATTTCATTATGGATTAAATTGTATTTGTTGCAACTGTCCAAATTATGAACATCCCAAAACAAGTTTGTCATTGATTTTGGTCTTGGAAGCTTTCGACTTCTAGGTTTGAAGTCCTTTTCCTTGGATCCCGCAGACCCTGATGAAGTCTGTCCTCCTGAATTGCTAGAGTCGAGAGTATTATTGAAATCCGCAACTAAGTTGGTTAAAGATTTGTAACGAATGTGAAACAAAGGTGAAGTAGTCAGGGATTTACTGGTGCGACAGGTTTTAGCACGAGCAGTCCGCTGAAGAGGCATAACATTGTCTTTGGAAGGTGATGTTTTGGTACTTTTGAATAATCTATTTTTCTGGAAGTATTTCTGTTGAGAAGGGCTTTTGATGAATATTTTGTTATTATAAGTTGAGTGATTTCCACTGGCTATGTATATTTTTCCAGCGCTGTATGAGCGTACGGGTGCTCTTGTATGGTAAATTGGTGTATTCTTTCCTTCACCGTTTCTATTCCCTATTTTTTCATATATATGTTCTTCAGGAGAAGTATCTTTGCTAGCCAATGAATTGCCCCTCATTTTTGGAGAAGCCTTGTTTACAATACTGACTGTAATTTTCTGCGCAGTGTGTTGAGGTGACTCAGTGCTGACAGATAATTTCCTGATAGGGATTGTTTCGATTGGAGGAGGTTCGGGCTTTTCTTTTTCCACTGGAAAATCAATGGTTTCTGTTTGCGGGGAAGAATGTTGAAAATGATTAGGATGTACTGTAGAATTCAAGAATTTTGGAGTGGTTGATATTTCTAAGGAAGCATAATCTTTGGTCTTGAAATCAGCCTTTAGCCTGTTTGGAAGGGGGGCAAATCCCCTAACATAGTCGTAAATCTGGTCAATTTCATCGTAATAGTCCTCATAATGTTGGTGATTGTCAGGGTATTTTATTTCATACTCCTTAGCACCTACGTTTTCTCCTGGCACCGACACATCTCGCGTCCAAGGAACAAGTGTTTTGGTAGTCTCCTCACACATGGGATCTGAGAAACGTCTTTTAATCAAAGGAATGCTTCTAATATGCTTTGAAAATTTATGATTATGAAAGTAAGGGCGGTGCAGCAGCTTTTCAATCCTATATTCTTTTTTTAGGGTGGAATCTATGACCTGAATTGTATTGGATGTTTCCTGTATCATCTTGTTACATTTTTCGCTCAATCTTGAGTATTCACGTAGCTTGATGAGACTCTCTACGTTACGTGGAGCTTGAAGCTTCAGCGGAAGATTGACAGGGAGCGAAATAGCGTTAAAATCTTTAAGCAAAGGTAAAACCAAGACACAATCTTCTTCAAATAAAGAACACAACCTCATTACAGGAATAAAATTTGACTTGAATCCAGATGGTGGTTTACCATACACAAGTCTGACCATAAGTGGAAGTCGTTTTGACAATAAATTTTTAATACTGTGTACTCCAGAAATATTCTCTCCACCAGCAATGGGACTAAACTTTCCTTTTTGTTCAAGTCCTAAATAAATGGTTTCTCCTCGAGAAGTAAAACAACAGAGAAAACGACCAGACCCCTTTCCTCTGGGCAAGGGCATCAGCAATTCGTTAATCAGAACTAGAGTTGCGCCTTCCGCAACTGTTCGTGTCTTATCAGAAATGATATCGGGATCTTCACTCCTGCTGAGGTATGCTTTCACACTTTCTCTCACTAGGCAAGTTTTTGGAAATACACGAGTAAGTTCAGCGACACTCTCAAGACATCGCACAGCACGGCCATCTTCCGAAAGAATCTCAAACCAACCGTCGTAGCTATCGGGAATGGCTAGTTTAGGACCAAGTGTTACAACACCATGGTTGTCTTTAAACTTTACACACTGAGCTTCCACTCGCACTTTCTGTCCACTCGAAGCAATATATACTAACTGGTTCAAAGAAGGGCAAGTTAAGGTTGGCACTCCGACATTCTGGTATTGGCCTTTAATAATCTTAGCAACTTGAGGAAGACTGAACTTTTGAGTGAATTCCTTGAGGTAATGCCCTTCATTTCCCCACTTTATCACAGAGAGAACCGCACTGGCGTCGCTACTGACCATTGTGCTCTTCGTATTCTGCAGGAAAACCTGGCTCGGGTTACGTTCTGTACGCTGGCTTTCAACCTAGCTAGTCTATGGTTGGATGATTTTTCTCACTGGGTCAATCTATGCTCTAACCTTTACTGAGCAATCACTGCTCTCTGTCTCCAAGCTGTTTTGTTGGCCTTGTGACATCCGAAGGACCTAGTGGATGAAATAGTACAATAAGATGTGAAAACTCAACAAATGTATATATATATATATATAGAAAACAACCATGATCATAAAAATGTAACCAGATGGCTCTTTTCATATGACACCTCGTGTTTTCCAAGTCTATTCTCGCCTTTATGTTCATAAGATAACCTTGACATGCCAACAGTTCTCATAATTATAGCATCACCTTTACCGCTAGATGCGCATATTTTAGTTACCAAAAAATACTTCAAGTTAATTATTTCCACTACTCTGAACATGTCCAAGGATTTTATGTCGCGGGAATACATACATACATTGTTTCTGATCGTAAAAAAACGTTTTTTGTTAAAGGTCCAAACATTATTCGAACCGCAACAAAGAATGGGAATAATAAAACAAGTTCGAGATTGTTGGTAATTTCACAACAACGTCTTGTTATTTATTCACAAATCATATTATTACAGAAACGTTACTCTAGCAAACTAAGAAGATTACATAAATATAACTAGGAACAAAAGGAAATATCTTAAAGTGTTCTAGCATTTCAACTAAGCTTCAGTAGGTGACTCTGGCTTTTATATTTTAGATGTTGCACATCATCATAAAGTTTCTTGACTTTTTCAGCTAAATGTGACTTCCATTACGTCTGTTAAGCCTAAAAAGATACGAGTCTCATTTAAATAAAGTCACATTGGGCTATCTGCTGTGTCCACAGGAAGGTAACCGAAACACGGATTTTAGAGCTGTAAGTCCTTAAACTTATCGCTGTCCCATCGAGGGGACAAGTGATTAATGAGTAACAAAAAACTGTGATGGTATACACAATTGGAAATAATGTAAATAATACGCTAAGCAGAATAACGACAACGTGAAATGATTGAATAATGAGCATGCACTATACTTCAACAAACTAAAGTGATAAAAATCTAAATGGGACTTAACGAGAAAACCATTAATGACAAGAAACGGAAAATTTCAATTTGTGATGCTAAGAAGTTGGAATTTTTAACCTGAACGGCACCTTATGCGAACATAGGCTACTGTTAGGTCAGAGAATCTCAAGGTTCCAGTATAGCCGTCCTTAATTTCGAACAACTAATCAGATACCCTTTTGTCGGACGGCTTTGTCTACATCTTTGAACCAAATAACGAGACTGGGTGTCACTTTTATAACGCTCTCACGGAAAATGCTCAGCGGTATATCGTCTCGATATCTAGAATCTGCGATCAGCAGACCGACACGCTAACCACTAGACGACACTCAGTACATGATATTAATAAATCACATTGGATAAAATGTAGATAAATCACATAACAAGAAATACGACAATTCAATTGAGTTAAAAAAAGTAACTGTATTTCTTCAGAGGTGAATGAATATATTGAATTGTATTCAATTTATATGGTATGCTCACCGATAATAAATGAGAGTTACCTTATTTTTCGGGATGTTATTTATCACAAGCAAAATTTCATTTTCTATTTAAATACCTACCGCAAATGTAATAAAGATATTTCATAAAAGTTGCTTATTCTTTAATAACATAACGTCATATTTTTTATGTATTTTAAAAACAGTTTTCGCTGCTTTCTTAATAATGAGTTTGGTGAAACAAATTAATGTTTATTTGGTTTGGTTGTTTTTAGAGCAAGGCCACATTGGGCTATCTGTTGTATTCACTGTGGAGAAGCAAACTCCGGATTTTAGCGTTGTAAGTCTGCAGACTTACCGCTGTCCCACCAGGGAAATAGTGATTAATAAAAGCCTCAAAAAAGATGTAGAAACTGGAAAATAATGTATGGTGTATGTTACTTGAGTATTCTAACTCAACACTTGTTGATTGAGTTCAATATTTACTTAATCCGATATTATATTGCTCCTAACTAAAACACCTTAAAAGCCATAATATCAGTTTAATCCTTTAATATATTACTCTTGACTAAGATACATTAAGAGCCATAATATTAATTGAATCCGTTATTAGATTGTACTCTTAATTAAAATATCTCAAGAACTATTTTAAATTTTAAAATGTTGTGTTGCTGACATTTAGGTAAATATGCATTTATTTTTATAAGAGACTAACTTTAAAACAATACTAAACTGAAACTCCTGAATGAAATGCTCGGCACAAATGTGAAATAGAGCTTTAATTACCGCTGACTTTGTAACTGTCGAGATTACATCTGTACGTTAGAGAAATAACGACCTGTGGAGGCAGTACCAAATGGTGGATACTTATCCCTCCCCTGCCCGACCTAATTTAACATTTCGCACTTTCATTCTCAATCATGCCAGGCGTGCAAGAAAACTACCAGTAGTCATTTGTCAGATGACATATGCATGTGTATAGGATCACGCTATATGGCGCAGATAATGAGATATGTTTGTCGGATCCAGACCGGTTTTTACCAAATTCTCATGGGCGATAATTGTTTAACTCATTCATTAATCAGGTTAAACCCTAAATGTTTCACAGATGTAACTCATAGTGTATCATTATTCTAGCTACTATATTGAAACATTTCGAATTTTCTTGAAAGGTTTTCAATCTGCGTGCAAAATTAACATGATGGTTAGTAAGACTTACATGTAAATTTCTGGATCACGTGCAATGAGGATTAAAATGATGGACATACTTGGTTTTTATTTTTAATGTAAATACATAAGCTATCCAATAAGAAGAATGCAATTCGATTGGCATTGATATCTTAAACCCGAGAAACATCTTATGCGCCACTATGACTTAACAGTTAGATGAGAGACTCTAAAGCTGAGATATAATAATCCCTAATTTAGAACTGCTGACCAGGGAGACTGCAACCAATTAGCAGCACCCGCTGGTTTTACGACCACACATTAACCGAGTAGTAGGACACCGCGTTACAATTATCACGCTCTCAAAAATTTGAGCATGTTCAGTAGCATGTCACGGCTCGAAACTTAGACATTCCAGTATATTGGCTTGCGCACTAATTACTAAGTCACGTCCTGCCGATATGTTTACTGCATTTGTCTTACTGCTAGATACCCTGTTATACTTAACTCAAGAGATGGGAGGAGAGACAACATTCACTACTATAATGTAATATTTGCTCACAACTATTAATAGGACATTGTTTACGGATTATCACAAGTCAAACTAATAAAACTGGTCAAGAATAAAAGGTCAGTCTTTAATGCCATCTCTGTACTTTACCTTGCATATATCGTGGTTAGTTTTCATAGAATGATCGTGAGTGTTTTTAAACGCTACTCATCGTTAACTTCATAACGTCGAGATTAATAAATAAAGACCTTTACTTGAAAAATCGAAATCATAAAAAATTAATAAATTTCTGCGTTTTAAGTGAATGAAAACTCAATTTTTCTAGGGGACTGAAATTCAAAAAATAAATCGAACCTTTACTGTGCTGTGTGAAAACATGTTTTTGACAGGAAATAGGGACAATAAACACACACACAGACTCGTGTTATAAGTAGTATCGTACAGTGTCATATCCAAGACCATCCACGTAGCATAAATCTACTATCCAACCAAACAATGAAAATGGTTAACAAAATATTTTACTTACAATGTTTGAGCATTTCGGAATACACATATTCCATCTTCAGCGAAATCTTAAATAAGTGTTAAAAAGATATTTATTAACTAAAACTATAGTATCATTAATCACTAGTTAACTTAATTATTAAGTAAGGTAGTAAACGGAAGGATAAACCAAAACAAAAAAAGAGTATAGATATGTTGCGAAACAGTTGAGTTTTAAGTGTCTAAACTTATAATAATTTTAGGTATAAAGAGGTTTGTAAGTCGTTAAGAGTAGGACGGTCTTTAGCTGTGAGTAAACTTTCTTTAACGTAAAATTCAAGGTCTGAAGATCCTGTAGTAAAGACAAAAAAAAACGTTAAATGAAATATTGTGACCCGTGGTTTCAGGAATGGATGAGTGGCTGGGTTTAAGTAGTGGACGGTCGGTTCTGTTAGATACCCCGTCCGCTACTTAAACCCAGCCGCTAATCCATTCGTTCACATGCTGAAACCACGATTTAACGTTTGCTTTATCTTTACTACAGGATCTTCAGACCTTGAACTCCATATCAAAGTAAGTTACTCATAGCTTAAGACCGCCCTACTCGTAAAGACTTACAAACCTCTTTATATCTAAAAATATTATAAGTTTAGACACTTAAAACTCAACTGTTTCGCGACAGATCTATACTCTTTTTTTGTTTTGGTTTATCCTTCCGTTTACCACCTTACTTAATAATTAAGTTAACTAGTGATTAATGATACAAAAGTTTTAGTTAATAAATATGTTTCTAACACTACTTTCAGACTTCGCTGAAGATGGGATAAGTGTATTCTGAAACGTTAGAACATGGTAAATAAAGTATTTTGTCAACCTTCTTCACCTTCATTATTAGACTTCGTTTTCACCGTCACGTATCCATTGTCAGTTCTATCAAACCTACGTAAGACAGGAAAAAATACTGATGACGTCACATGCAGCTGACCTACATTTGTGCTAGCATTGTCAGTTTCTGACAAGAAAGTGACTCTTTGTTCCCGTTACTAAACAAAACACGTGCCAGGTAGTTAACATTTGCCTAAAAAATTACATTTAAAACACCATTTTTGTATTTGAAGAACAAAATGAAATTTCTAACTGCTTGGTTCAAGCAATAATAGAGTATATATTTAAAACTAATCATTACTTATACAAGTAACTAGCAAACGTCACAAAGATGTCTTGACGTTGAGAGATTGGTTAATTACACATCCCTCATTTCTGTATCCCTCTAGAAAAGCGGAGTTTGCTTTCTGTTTAGAACATGTCTTTCGGTGGGACAGCAGTATGTTTATGGACTTACCACACTAAAACCGGGGTTCGATTCCCTGTCGTGGATACTGCAGATAGCACTATGTGGCTTTGGTCTAAAACAAACAACAGCTTCGAACACCTAACAGTAACAGCAAGAGATTATTTATTTTCAATGTTCAGAAAATTTTGCGTGATAAACTAAAAGCGTTTTCTTGCTATTGAAGCTTAGTTTTGAAAAGTAAGCGGGGGTAAAAAAAAAAAAGTTTTGTAGAACTTCAAGGTTTTGGAGTATGATGCATCACGATAAGTTAGGGATATCAGTATTCTGAATGTGCTTTAAATACTGTTCCATTTTCGAGCCGAGCGTGAACATGTGGTTAGTTTACCGAACCATGTAGCGGTGGGTCCAATATTCGTTTCTTGTAACCACAAAAAATAAGTACACTTTGGAGCCATGGGTGAGTTAAAAGTTACGATACAATCCCGGTAAATGAGGTTTTTATCTTTCCACAAGGCTTTTTCAGGTGGAGCATTTTAAACACTTTCGATAAGATTAAAAAGGAGCATTTTAAACACTTTCGATAAGATTAAAAGGTTTTTAAAGCTAATTCATATGCCTCCTTGAGAAAACTCTTTACAAAGCATTCACATTCGGTCAGACAAGATTAGCCCAAGAGTTGGTGCTAAGTGCTGTTGACTAGCTGTCTTCCCTCTACTCTTTCAGTTCAAAATTAAAGTAGCTTTCCGCGAATATCATAAATCAGACGTACTATTTTTGAGCCCATGGATGTTTTGGTAAAAATGTCTAATACAATAATATATAACATCCTTCAATGAAAGCAATCTGCTCGCTACTTTTCATGATTTTCTTAAGGCAACTTTTTCGCAGCAAATTAGGACATAAAACAAAGCTACATGGTTATAATATAAGGCTTCAGACTTGCCCGTGGAGGCAGTTTAGCGTAAAGAAAAGATGTACCAAATTTTGCTGAAACTTTATGTTTAATTTGCTTTAGGACCACTTTCTCATATACGGATTATTGAATTACAGACACCATTTAAACATATCTGGTTTGTACCAAAATGTACTTACTTCTTCGTAAATCAAGTTCAATAAAACGAAGTCGATGTCTGTTCAGGAAAAGTGCACGTATCTATATTTACAAATATAGGAAGCTGATGGACTGTGATAATACTAACAGCGAGTAAATGAAAGCCCACAATTAGTTTTATAAATGAATCGGAACTGAAAGTAAACAACATTTTTTCTTTCAGAGGAGCTCACATTGTTTCAATTCACGATCACAGGACAATCTTGGGCAGGTCGAGATGTGCCTGCAACTTTTTCAGACGTGTTTCAACAAGTTTATGGACGACTAGGCTGGACGATATCGTGATACCCTGTTTACCTATATCCCAAAACACGCCGTTTCACTTTGGTAAGCCCAAGGGTTAAATTGGGGCGGAACAGAGTTCCGCCTCTTGAGTATTCAAGTCATTAGCGCTCCTGTTCGTCTGATTGGAATGTCATAGTGGATCACAAAAGGGAGTTCCACCGCTTTTAAAATCCCAATTTAACTGTTGGGTGGGCCTCGAGCGATATTGATAAAAAAACAACAATAATTAAATGGATGATTTGACGGTTTTACATGCAAAGATGCAAAGTTTTACATGCAAAGATGCTTAGTTCTTCTTTACGAATTCAATAAGTATAGTAAATATTTACGATAAAATCCCGGTAGATGAGATATTTATCTTTACACAAGGCTTTTTCAGAAGGAGCATTTTAAACATTTTCAATAACATTAAAAAGTTTCTAAAGCTAACTTATATGCCTCTCTGAGAAAGCGCTTTAAAAACACCAGGGATTTAAAAAAATATTTTCCTGAGTTCAAGTTGTAACTTGTGCAATTTTTGCAAATACTTTTGTTTCTTGTAATCTTTAAATTAGGCCTTAGATTATTTAAAACTATCAATATCATATCATTGGATAATTTTAAAACTACATAGCTAATTCATAAACAAAACTTATTTATTAACTACTGGTAAAGATAGACATCTATACATAATTTATTCTTTCATCTTGAGTATCATTCACTTCCTCAGATAGGTAGGTTACTGACCGGATTTTCAGGTGTAAGTTGACTCACTGTTCAAGGAAAGGTCATGTGGAGACTTAGTCACTCTTCCTAACTGTACAGTTTCAAGAAACAGTTACCACTGGCTGTTGAATCAGTAGGATTTTTCTTACACTTTAGTCGACAATCAAATGTATCTTTCACCAAACTGCAGGTTACTTGCTAAAATCGAAACGGTTATTTGGATACACGGTTTAGACAAGTCGAGACAATGTAAAATAGTCAGTAGTCTGAAAACAAAATCTATATGTTTTCGAATTTTTCAAACGTCGACAAGTCGATTAAGCAAAGTTTTCTGACTTAATTCCAAAAATCAACGAAGTTTTGAATCGGTATGCTACAACTTCTCTTACTACAATTCTCAAGAATAAGAAATGTAATAGAAACAGTTGTGACGCATTGAGTATGTAAAAACTGCCTCTGTAAAACGAGGCTAGAAATTAATACTTTTACTAGTTAAGAAGACTTGAGATATGGCCTGCAACACTGCAATCCATAACACACCACAGATATCCGTTGTGACATACTGTACGGTCGAGTTCTACTTACAGGAACCGCAAGAAACAATGTGATCGCTGCTGTACTCACTCCCTGTGCGGCGTCACGTCCACGCCACACCATCGTTCGTTTCAGAACTAACAAACAGTCCGTTGCAGCAAACACAGATTATCATCTCCGTCACGAATCGAGTTGCCCTTTGCTAAGCGCTGAATGGACCGTTTGGCTTTCAATAACCGGCCACAAACTAGACTGGCAGAAGCGTATTCCAGGCAAACCCTCCCCTTTTTCCTGCCTACTTCCACTCATACCTCTACCTTGTGTAGACTTCTTGTCCCCCTATCTCTCAATAATCTAATACAAGTTCTTTTTCCTGACAAAGAAAAAAAGAAAAAAATCATATGCAATTAATCAAAATTCTTTAATAGTTAGCTTATTTAACTATAGTGTTCAAGATTTTTTTCTTAACCATTTTAGGAACAAACGACAGGCAGTACGGCACCTGATTATTTCTTTCCCTTGACATCTCACTGAACAGCAGTTTCAAATGACAGAGTACGATATACTTTATTTATTTTCATATAAAAAAGCCCTCCAGTGGCACAGCGGTATGTCTGCGGACTTACAACGCTAAAATCCGGGTTTCGATACCCGTGGTGGGCAGAGCACAGATAGCCCATTTTGTAGCTTTGTGCTTAATTACAAATAAACATGTAAAAAAGACTGAGAAAAATATAAGTACACAAATACATGAGTCTCCAACAATTAAACAGTACTGGGAAGAACAAGAGAACCATTTTTTTACTCATTTGTAGCACAAAGCTACACAATAAATTATTTGCACTCTATCCATCGCAGGGAATCGAACCCCAGATTTTAGCGTCTTAAAGTCCGTAAACCTATAACTGACCCTGATCCACCTGGAGATGTAAGCCATTTCAGTTCGAACTTTGTGGGAAGATAACTGTAAACATTATTTGATATTCCAGTTGTAACTAAATGTGTTTAGTGAGAACAATCCCTGTATCACCATCCACCGGGAGCTCAACGGTGAATATTAGGGCTTATAACGCTAAATGTCGGGTTTCGATACTCGCGGTGGGCACAGCACAGATAAGCACTTGTGTAGCTTTGTGCTTAATATATATAACAAACAATATCTATACAAATTACTTGATAATTCAATTGTAACTAACTATAGACAGGTCTTGTGTAGTTAAATATTACTTAAATTATGCTGTCACATTAGTACGAATTAGTCGACAAGTGGTGATGAATGGTTAATGCAACTCTCAGCTGATGAGTGATTTAAAAGCTGTGCTGATTTACAAGTTCTAGTAACGTGTTTCGTTGATGTGAACCCCTTTATTTATTTGTTGAATTGAAAGTTAATACTTTGTAATAATGAATTAATTGCTATTTTAACCGAAAGAAAATATAATATCAACTTCCACAAGTAACTGTTTGATTTTGATTATGCAAATACTATACTAGTCTTTTAAAATTGGTTCTAACGAACATTTATATTCGAAATTGTATATGTTGCCTTGATAATCTAACGAATATTTAAAAATCAGTATGTTGGTTTAGAACAAAGCAATAAAAACACGACGTTTCTGGTTGTTTATACCCTCTTCTCTATCAGTTAATAACGTGTGTACTGTGAATCCAATGGTTCATGGTTTTAGTCTCGTGCTTCAAAATCAAGCTTTGAGCTCTGGGACCTTGAGTGTTTTATAAAACTGAGAGTTAAATTACACTATACGATTACAGTATCTCAAGGTTTAGTGACTGAGTAGTGTTGACTAGCAGCCTTCCCTCTAAGCTATCACTTTAAAATAGGGATGGTTAGCGCAAATAACTCTCGTGCAGCTTTGATAGAATATTCGAAACAAACTTACCAATTAATAATAAATAGATAAGTTGCCATATTTTCTGTTTTCAGCTTAATTTTAGGGAGTCTATTCAATTTCTAATTTTTATTACAAATAGAGCTATTAAATCGGGTCCTACTAATAACTGCTCGTGAATCTATTAAGGTTGACAAGCAGAATATCGACATGATTTAATAATTATATGTGAAATATACCAAAAAAATCGAAAAAAAAACGGTTCATATTAATTACAGTTCAATATCACCCAGTACCGTCCATAGACCTTACGCTATAGCCCGAGGCAGGAAACACAGGCGTTCCCATGCGCTACGTCCTGTGAATCTCGCCGAAGCCGGGAAGGCCCACAGAACATACGATGAAGACAACGATATATCCGTCGCAGTTTGATTTGTTGAAAAGTGTCTTCAATAGCAAGCACTGACAAGTTAACTCTTTAACTCAGTTGGTAAGTTAATCGCCTGGAGTGCGAAATGTCTCGGCCTTGACGAGGAAATAATAAAATTGTAAAGGCATTTCGTTATCAGAAAACATTGGTGATAATGATGAGTCTGATGATCTTGTACATTATAACTACACATTTTCAAGTCTTGACATGTTTTTTTAATAACTACTCTGAGTCACAGGAAGGCGTTTAGTTCGACTGATTAAAACCTGTTCATTTAGTATTCATATCTGGTGTATTGTGAGTTACTTTTTTGTCTAAGGAAGTAAATAAAAAAGATACTCATGAACAAAGTTAAATTAGGATTCGATCGGTTTTAATTTCCACAAAGGAAAAGGAATTACGAGAAACGTTTCCGTTTCTAAAATATTAAAATTGGCCAAGAATAGCATAGTTTATTAAAAGTGCTATTTCTATCTTTATAACAAGTTTTCATCAAAGTGTTTTTTATGAAATATGTATATATATATCATGTGCTATCAGTGCTTTTCTTATAACTTTTATATCATTACATTTAGTAATTAGTTTTTAAACAAGTTTCTTCGACTGTTCATTAAAACTTGTTACAAACGGTTAACACTAACCTCAATTAGAATTAATAATTTTTCGGAACATCATTTCTCAGAAGATCACTGATCTGGGATCATTTTACAAACACAAATCAAGATAAACACAATCATACGTTTCCCAAAAACTCAGCTATACTTTGTCATTCATCTTCACCTTGAATACTACTAAAAGGACTGAGAATTGACAGCTATTATTTATCTTCTTGATATTTTGTAAAAATTTGCGAGTTCACACACCGATGACTACACCAAAACACTTGAAATCATTTTTATATAATGAAGACTCTTTGTATTACTAAGCTTACCGAGTGTTTTCTTTTCTTTTTTAAATGAGATCTATCACATTCTTCTTAGATAAGCATAACCATTTTCGATTATTCTCTGGTAATAACTTTACCGGTTTATTTGAACAGTAAAAATAGATAATAATCTTTACGCGAACTTCCCTTTTAGTACCTGTAATAAATTTACATAAGAGAAGTTTTTCAAATCACCTTACTAGATACTTGTAAAAAAAGGTGAAATTTATAAAACCACGGTTTTGTCTATATAATTTCACAATGTCTGTCTGAAAACACAATGCGTGTTATTATCCTACTGGGGCTTTATGTACAATAAAAAACGTATAAACTTCACGACGTAACATTAAGAATGTCTTTTGCTTCCTTTTGCAGGCATTAACTTCTTTGTAACAAACCAGTTTACAGAGTTGCTCTGGTGAGAGTGAAAACAGCGTCCCTTTCACCCATATTTGTTCTACCTACGTATCTTTATTCAGAGTGGGCCACTGACCTTACGCCTTGTTTTGTCTGGAGAGTAAAAACCTGACTGACTGCAAGTCGATTATCGGTGAAGATGGATTAATGCTGCTCGAGGGTTTAACACAGACATACATCAAAACGTTATCGTTACATCCAAGCAAGATAGACATACATCAAAGCTTTATCGTTACATCCAACTCACGTGAGGTGCAGAGAGCCATAAACATCAAGACAGGTAAAATATTACCCATAAGAAACTGGAAAGGTTGGATAAATACTTGGGTTTTACAATATCACAGTGCTTTATTCTGCTAGTTACAAATTGGTGTTTTAAAGGGCCACTATAGTTTTTTTTATGAGGTTGGATAAATATTCAGGTTTACCAGGGCCGTTATAGTTTTTTTTAAAAGAGTTCGAAAAATATTCGGGTTTTGCAGGCCACTATTGTTTTTAATCAGGAAGACAAGATGTTCGAAGTTAGCATGGCAACTTATATTTACTTTGAGATTCCCGTACCTTTACTTGAATAAATATTCATAGTTTGTAATGATTTATACAGTTTGTAACAAATTACTTATATTGTAAGGGAAAAACTCTCGTGTTGTTGTTGTTTTATAATTCAATGCAATCAAAGTTTAACAAAATCACTGGTAAAGGAAAAAAAATCCAGATTAGTGAAAAACAAAAGATAACAGTTGGTCAAATTTCTTCTTATCTTACCTCATTTGAAAAGAGAAATGAGGGGAAGACATTCTTGTGCAAGCACAAAGACTTAGTACCTATTACGTAAAGGAATGCCAACACACACACAAAAACATACATCGACGTGAAAGTGTTCTTAACTACATTCAGATTCGCAAAATATCTGCGTTATGATTACAAAATATTCTTAGAACTTTCAAAGCACGATTCTAAAACGTTCCACGAAAACTTGCTCAGAGGTGTAACGTTCTTACGTTTAAAAAAGAAAACAAAACAAAAAATACTTCTATATTTTACAGAGAAAAATTATAATAATATGAGAAAATCCGATAAATCATTTCCAGGTTAATGAAAGGAAAAAGAATTCATAAAAATCAACTTTATCTCACATATATATATATATAATTGTGCATGTGTTCAATTTACAAATAACACAGCTTCATAATTTTATCCTATAGAAATCAACGCATTTTCAAGAACTGTATTCAAGCACACATATTTCTAGGTAATAACGAAGAACATGTCACGAAAATTTCTTGTTAGAACGACTGGGTGTTAAAGAAAACATAAGTTTTTTTTTTTCGTAACGACCTTAACCTTTGACCTGTAACAACTCTTCGTCACGTCAATTCTCAGTATTTTCCCGTTTAGTGACTATACAATGAGAGTAATGCCCATCACCATAATTATAGACTTATAAAGTCAACCAGTTAGGCATAA